TGAATCAACAAGAAATTTCTTTTATTAACAAATATATTTTTTTGTTGACCCAGCTGCCAAATATGACAGCTCACGTCAAAACCATGAAAACTCTTGTAAATTCGAAAAGATTTTCTTTTTGATTTAACAATCCATGAGTTTTTAGAAACAAAGATACTGGATTGTTGAAATAATAATGATTTCTTTTTGCAGCCAAACCAAAATGAAATTCTTTTTAATTTTACGTCAAATATCATTACGCTTAAATATTTTGTTTTTCTGCGTGTAGGACGACGGATCTGCATCGACTTCCAGTCACCGTGGGAGTACGCCTCTTGTTGACCGTTTCTCGCCACGCTGCGCATGTGTTTGTATAATTTCCTGGTCTTCACAGCCATAAAACTTGTCCTCCGAATCATCACCACATTCGTTCCTTGCTGGTTCTTGCTGCTTCTCCTGCGGTGGCTCTTGAAGTAGCTCATCGTGCTCAATCGTCTCCTCCTGAGATGAACATTCAGATGTTGCAGTCACCCGTCCATCATCTCCGATTGCAGGACCACTTTCTTCAGCTTCTAATTCGTGGGAACCATTACGCTGTTCAATAAACAGTGCATTGCGACTTACAGTGATCCTATCTGTCTCTGGGTTTAAGAAACGGTAGGCCTTCCGGTCTTCACAATAACCAACAAAAGTTAGCTTTTGCTCCTTTGAGTGAAACTTGGTCCTCTTCACTTCCGGGATGTGGACGTATGCCAGACTTCCGAATATGCGAAAATGACTTAGCACTGGTGGTTTCCCAAACCATTTTTCGTACGGAGTTCTATCGATGACACGGGAAGGCAAAACGATTTTGTATATAAGCTGCAGTCATTATCGCCTCACCCCAATACTTTTTCAGTAAGTTGGTATCGAGCAACATGTAAGTTGCCATCTCCTGAAGTGTGCGGTTTTTGCGCTCCGCAACGCCGTTTTGCTGCGGTGAATATGCTGCGGTTATCTGTACCTGAATACCCTCTCCTTCGTAGAAAGTTCGTTACTCGTTGTTTACATACTCGCCACCTCCTGATCTGATGATGCAAGGAGCCCGCCCAAACCGCGTTTTAACGTGGGACCGCTGATGCAATTTGCCACGTCTGCCTTTTGCTGCAGCAGACAAACAACCGTGTACCGGCTAAAGTCATCGATTAATGTCATCAGGTAGCGACTACCCCCAGGGGTGACGTTCGACATAGGGCCGCAATCATCAGTGTGGATTAGATCAATGACACGACTGGCTCTGCTATTTGAAACATGGGGAAATGAGCAACGAGGGAGCTTACCTTCCAGACACGATGTCTCAATCCGCAGTCTTGTACATTGAATCCTTCTACGAGATTGCCTGTTTTAAATTGATCAAGCACAGCCAGGATCCCTGTGGCCAAACCACTTGTACCAAATATATTGGCAGTTCTTTAGATGATGTGCCTCTTTACTTAACTTTGCGAATTCAACCGTCTTCAGGATAAACAAGCTTCCGTGCATTTCACCCAACGTACTATTAAAAGTGTCGAAATCAATATTTCTAATTCTAATGCTAATTCTGACTACACGGAAAACAAAACATAGGTATTGAACATTTTTCAAGATAACTGAAAATCTGTGATTATCGGTAGTTTTTAACCTTTCGTCTGTGAATCGGTAGGCATCCCGAAAATCGGTAGGATTACCTATAAATCGGTAGGTCTGACCACCCTGATCGTATGGCATGATCAATCAGCTGTTTTGTGGGCAACACTGTATTCAGCAGTGTAACAGCACAAAAATCATGGCTATATACAGGGTGTTTGGTTCCGGGTTTTACATATTTTCAGGGTAAATAGGGCTCCTAAAGTTATGAAAAAATCCCCATGAAACATAGGGTCGGAAATGACTGCTAAGTGAGTTATTCAACATTTTATGTATTTTTGTACTGCCAACTTTGGTTAGCTATATTTTTTAATCTTAATGTCGTTTTCTGATTTCAACATACCAAATGAAAGATTAAAGTCTTAGCTATCAATGCTCTTTTAAAAAGAACTCGATAAAAGTTAATTATCATACATTAAAATTGAAAAAAAAAGTTGAATTTACCAAAAAACTGGTAAAATTTCATACATATTAGTGCTTTGACTATATGTTTTAGTATTACTTCTACGTGAAGTCAACGATTTACATAGTTGAAGATGCTAATTTCAAATAACAGACTGTAGTGGTAATTTTTATACGATAGATGGAGTAGATGAAACAATAGTTGCAATTTCCAAACCTACGACTGGATGCCTTCCTTCAAATAACAACTGAAGTGCGGTAAAAATCGGTAGAACTGTTTCAAACACACAGTTGGTACTTGAGCGGGTCGGTTTTCATCTCTTTTTGCCAGTGGTGGCGGGGGGGGGGGGACACCCCTCACCATCCCTCTCCAAAGGGGGAGTTTGGTAAAGAGAGATGAAAAAACCGATTTGTACCTTCCTTAAAAGTGGTCCTAGCTCGCTATTCTAATATCTATATGCAATCTTCACACTGCCGTACTCTAACGGAACTATCAACTCTATGCTTTCATCTACTCCATCTATCGTATAAAAATTACCACTACAGTCTGTTATTTGAAATTAGCATCTTCAACTATACATATTAGTGTTTTTAAGTTGAAAATTTTCATTTCTATTTATTTAGTTGTTCTACAAAACATTTTCCATGCAGTTCCCTAGATTTGTGCCTTTGGTAGTAACCTTGTAGGCTTTATGGTTTCTTCGTAATTATTGATTTAAAACAGCCATAAAAACTTGTGACGTTTTCTTAAAATGCGCTATAGTCACCCTATTCGTTCGTACGTGCGGCTGTTGCAGTGGACTACGCACATGAAAATTTGGTAGAATGTTATTGTAAATGTTTAGCTACATTCTTAACTTTTGATTACCGCACATCTCTTGCGCCGAAAGAAAACATAACTGCGGTATCGAATATTTCTCAGTCTCAGCAGAAAACACAACGAGAGACACCGAATCAGCTAATTCTGAGAGCGGAAGGGAGAGAATTGGCAAATCAAAGTTGGTACTCGTGGAGAATAGAAGAACTATGAGAGTGATGATGGTTTCAAAATTTTACACCGTGAGGTATACGAGTGCAATCTTAAAAAGCTTTTATTTTGCAAATGGAACATTTTATTAAAATCTGGTTGATGCTATGTTAGTAGAAAACTTAAGGACTACTCAATAGACAAATAATATAGAAAAATTAATTTCTTTTCAGATTTTTAGGTGTACACATAGATTTGAGCTTTTCTACCACTGATTTAAATAAAATGTTCCATTTGCAAAATAAAAGCATTTTAAGATTGCACTCGTACACTTCCCCGTGGAAAATTTTGAAACCATCATCACTTTTATAGTTCTTCTATTCTCCACGAGCGCCAACTTTGATTTGCCAATTAGGTAGTGGTAATTGGCAAATCAAAGTTGGCACTCGTGGAGAATAGAAGAACTATGAAAGTGATGATGGTTTCAAAATTTTCCACGGGGAAGTATACGAGTGCAATCTTAAAATGCTTTTATTTTGAAAATGGAGCATTTTATTTAAATCTGGTTACTGCTACAGTGGTAGAAAAGCGGAAGTCTATGTTTACACCTAAAAATCTGAAAAGAAATTATGTTTTCTGTATTATATGTCTATTGAGTAGTCCTGAAGTTTTCTACTAACGTAGCACTAACCAGATTTAAATAAAATGCTCCATTCACAATTCAGCATGTGGAGGGTATTCTCGGGTTAATAAAGTCTAATAAAGCGGGTCAGAAATAAAGCCTACAAGGTTACTACCAAAGGCACAAATCTAGGAAACTGCATGGAAAATGTTTTGTAGAACAACTAAACAGAAATGAAAATTTTCAATTTAAAAACACTAAAATGTATGAAATTTTACCAGTTTTTTGGTACTTTCAACTTTTTTTTTCAATTTTAATGTATGAAATTAACTTTAATCGAGTTCTTATTAAATGAGCATTGATAGCTAAAACTTTAATCTTTCATTTGGTATGTTGAAATCAGAAAACCACATAAAGATTAAAAAAATATAGCTAACCAAAGTTGGCAATACAAAAAAACATAAAATGTTGAATAACTCACTTAGCAGTCATTTCCGACCCTATGTTTCATGGAGATTTTTTCATAACTTTAGGAGCCCTATCTACCCTAAAAATATGTAAAACCCAGAACCAAACACCCTGTATAGCCATGATTTTTGTGCTCTATTCTAGGCGCCAGAAACACCAATGTTGCCTGCATAATCATAAGACATCAGTGACTTGAATCATTAATAACTTTTGTTCCATTTTTTTGTTGATTAAAAATGTCTGTTTTTCAATATAAACGCTGTCAATACTTAAACTCAATGAAAAGCAGCGCTGTTGAGATGTTAATGAATGGGAATTTTGAATGATTTATCCATCTTATTGAAACTAAAAATATTGTTTTGTTCACCAAAACAAATCACATCGTTTCTCTATTATGAAAAGAACTATAGAATTCTAGATAACTATTGTAGGTATGTACGGAAACTTGTTACTTGCGAATTTTTCCAGAATAATCCAGGCACCATTGAGTAGACAATAATAAATTTTAATTGTAGAAAGCTTTAGGGAACAAGATTGAAAGAATCCAGAAATGGCCACCATCATTGCTGCTTTTACAAGGAACGGCCATTTGTAGATTCTAATCTATCAACCTTAATCTTTGGTGGCATGGTCATCGTAGGGAAAATTTGTGAATTTAGATTGAACAAAATTTTATTGTAAATATTTTTCAATTATGTACATCTATAATTTTGCATTGTGTTTAGCATTTTCTGATTCAGCGTGTTTGGAGAATTTGTTTAAAAATTAACCAAAGAGTTAAACAAAAACTAACTACTATGAACTGATAAATTATAGAAATTTAAGCATTAATTTACAAAACAAACATAACTATAACTCAAAACGTTAATCATTATTGAATACCACAATGAGGTTAAACAATTTGTTATAAAAATATGGGTAGGAGCAATATGACACATTGGATTCATCTTTTGTTTTGTTCAAACGAAACATAATAAAAACATAAAACTTTTACAATTTCATTGTCCATAAACTTCTTCAGAAGACTAGAATATCCTGCTTTGTAGGGGTAGTTTACGCGTTTCGTTTTAACCAAAAAATAAGCGCTTTTCATCTATTTTCCACTAAGAAATTACTTAAATCACTAAAGGTTAACACTAACTATCGCTCGTTCCATCTCGTAAGGCATTTCTGTTTGTCGTAATTAAGCAGCACACAAGCTTTAAGTTATTCCGTTTCTTATGCTAACGCCAAGAAAATTAATGTCTAGGTTTTTATAGAAGATTTAATGGAAATAAATAATTTCTCGTTACGATCTATACTGTATTATTTAAGTATAGAACTTTACAGCTAAGGTAACTGAAGAGACGGGGGAGATCACGTGAAGATCTAGAATTTGCCCGATAATGGGATCGTACACCCGGAATTGTGATGCTCTACTACTTGTTGCTTCAGCTGAAAGACGTGCTGCTTCAGGTTGAACACTTTACTGCTTAGCTCGGAGTTTTGCGTTTTAAGATCTCTCACTTTGTCTTCGAGCTTGGAGATTCGCTCGAGCTTTCGTTTGCGACACTTGGAAGCAGCAACACGATTTCGTAACCTTTTGCGTTCCAGCTTGATGCGTTCTTGGTTCTCCATATCGATAGGGCTTACCGGTGGCGACTGTGGCACAGTCTGGGGTTCTTCTTTGATCACACCTGGATAGCAGTCTGTAGAGATCAGATGATAAAAAAAAAATATTAGGAAATAATCTAGCCATTAATCACACCTGGCCCTCTCAAGGAGATGGCAACCGCGATGTGCTACTTACCGAGATCAGTATAGGTGATGTCACCTCCACTCATCGTATTGTGAGTGGTAGTGCTTGCGGTAGAGACAGCCGAGACTGCGGTGATTGTCGTGGTAGTGTTGTTGTTGATGTTTTTATTGTTATTATTGTTGTTATTCATCTTGCTGATGTTATCTTTCTCGTGCATGGACAGGAGAGCTTCATCGAAGCCTTTGGCAAATTGTTCCTGTTCTGTGGTTGCCTGAAAATAAGAGGAATGTTAAATTTTAGAAGGGATTTACAAATCATCGATGTTTTGAAACCATATGGTGAAACAATTTATTTGTAACAAAGCACGTATTAACATGGCTACTATAGTGCATAAATGATTAGGAATACATTGCATGTAAAGTATTTTGGTACATTAAAATCTATTTTTGGCATCAATGCCGTATTGTTATGTTCTCCAAATCATATCAATGCCAATAGTGCTACTCCTTATTTTAGCTAGCACTGCTAGTGCTAATAAGCTTTTAATCAGAACTGCTATTGCTAACATGATTTTAACCATCGCCGCTAATGCGAACATGTTTTAATCAGTATTACATGAGCATCACATGGGCTAGTCCCTAATAAACGGGTACCATACACTAACGATATCATAGATGGTACTACCATACCACTTAAAGTTGGGCTGATATGGTGGGTAAGTGGTTCTTATGTTTTTTTTTTATGCGGGTTGTTTCTCTGCGATATTTTCACAAAGCAAACATGATAGTTTGACAGAAAGACAAACATTATCTGACATATTTTTATATCTGCGCAGTATCATTATCAATGTGTTCAATCGACGAAATATGAGGAAACCAAGCTGAACGATGGATTAGGTCCTAAGGAACATTGATCGATTCTTTTCATCGACTTTCTTTTTCGTTAATAGCGTTTGTTGTATTATAAGTTAGATAACAGCTTCTTTCATCGATCTGTGTGCTGAAAATAGCTGAGAATGTCTTAACAAGCCCGTGAGGGTTAGTAATTCTATATATAAACACGAAACGAAAATCAATTATTTTATTCATGTGTTTCATTTATACATTTATGCCAAAACATCAACCTTATACATTCCATAAGATAAACCACATAGGTCCTATAAGAATGCATAAATGGTATGTGTGACCGCTTATACATTTCATTTGACACATGATCTTCATTAACTTTTTGCAAGGCGTCTGCTTATTAGTTGACTTATACATTTTATGAATAATCAACAATAGAAATTTGCCAAAAGGTATAAGGAGATTTCTATCCGTGAAGGATTACTAGTGAGGATGTAAAGAGAAAATCGACGAAGAGAATCGGTCAGTGTTACTTAGGACCTAATGCATTGTTCAGCTTGAAATGTGTTAAATTAATATCGATCAAATTTCACTTTTCAACGCATACACTGAATTCTAAAAGAACTATATATGAATTTTAGCCACAATAAATCGCTATGAATTTCGTAGATTTGCCTTATGAAAAATAATGGTAACAACAAATACTAAAACAACATACTGGAACCGAACCACGGACGTTGAGGTTACGGGGCCCATGTGTTGACCACTTGCCATTCAACGCTTGGGAGAATGAAATTGTTAAAGGCGTAAAAGAGCTACCTCATGTTAGTCGACAATTCAAGCTGAACATTGCATTAGGCCCTAAGTAACAATTCGTCGAATTTCACAACCATGGGTGTCATTCCTTAATTTTGTTGCTAAGGAATCCAATTTGGACTGACAAAGGGGTGCGCCTTTGGAGGGTGTTTCAACACTCAGAAGGGTATTAATAGCGGGACCTTTCAATTAGAGTCGAATCCTTGCGAAAAATACAAGAATGAAAATTGTAAAAAAAATGGAATACTTCATAATTTCTCAATAGTGATGGAGTAATACCAATCGGTGGAAACTAACGATTTTAAATTGGCTCACTACTTGACTAGCCTATTGATACCAAGTACATGTACAATAAGCGTACCCCATTATAGTCGAAATTCTAGTACTACACTATGTTTGCTTGGGGTGTTCGTGGATTTTCCTATGTTTCGAGGGGTGCATCGATAAGCTTGGGACCGAAGATAGTTCCAGAGCTGAGCCAAAAAGTTGAGCACGTTTCTTCGGGACCTTCTGGTCTTAGAGTTACCTCTATGGTTCTACGCTATTCAGAAGTTAGCATTTATATTTGATTTAAGCTGCATATTTAAACCGAGATTTAAACACCAATAGCTGAACAAACGCCTAAATGTGGGCAATAATTATAAGTTTTTCACATAATTTCATGATTATGATACTAAATAGGGTAAACGATCCTATAGTTGCAAGACGTTAGAAGCGTTAGGTTCCTATAGTTGTGTATGGAGACCAGCCCACTGGCAAGCGCGTAGGCAACATGTTATACCGTGACAGCGGGCCCAGCACAGTAAAATAAACGATTTGAGCCCGGGACATGCTGCCTGCTGTCAAAAGCTGCTGTTAGTATAGGTCTCGTCACTGGCCTGATGGAGACTCTGTACACAACTATCAATGAGCTGGATTACCGAGGTGAAGCAATCGGTTAAGTTGTGTGAGTAAAACCCCTGTACGATACAAGCAATTAGTGACGTCACTACTTGCGTTTACGTTGATTTTTTGGTTTACCAATACAACCATATTTCACGATCTGCTTCACCTCTCTCTGTACCTCATTGCACAACTATAGGAACCTAACGCTTCTAACGTACCGCAACTATAGGAGCGTTTTTCATTTTAACAAAATCTGATTTCAGATTCGGATTCAGCAAACCAAAATTAAAAAAAAAATAAGTTATTTCGCCCCCAACCCCCCAACCAAACCCCAAGTTCCGATTGACGGTAACGAAATCAAAGTTGTCGACGAGTTCGTGTATCTGGGCTCCGCCAATAATTATACCAGCAGAGAAATTTAAAGAAGCATTGTGGTAGGGAATCATGCCTGGAGGACGCTTCAGTCGAATAAAATTCGCCTCCACTTGAAGATGACTATCTACAATATGCTGGTTAGACCGGTTGCCCTATACGGCCACAAAACCTGGGCTATGCTCGTGGAAGGTGTTACGTACTACCTACGGTGAGGTGCAGATGGAAGACGGAACGTGGAGGAGGCGTGTGAACTACGAATTGCACCAACTACAGCGAGAACCACCCAACATTCATACCGCATAAATTGGGTGACTACGGTGGACTGGGCACGTCGTAAGACCTGGTGAAAACGGTTCATAATGTGAACTAGCCTTTAGCGAACGGCATCCAATAACTGAAATGCATTTCATGTGACATGCATTTAAATTGATAAATGTTCATACTCATGTTTATTTGGTTCATCTTGAAATTTTGAAATGCACTGCATTTGACAGATAAGTGTCCTTTAACTGAATCTTTGGAAGCGACCTTTCAGTTACAATATATTTCCATTTAAAAGTCTTGCAGTTACCAACCGTCTAGCCTATTTGCATAACCAGCAACAATGTTGATACATAGGGGAAATGGATGCAATGTTGGCCTAAATGCCCCTAATTTGGGCCCATACATAAATTCAGCAATCGACTATATTTTCAATAGCAACCAAAAATATCCATTAGTACCGTCTCAAAGACGCGTTCATCTAGATAAAATTGATAAATAGCAGATTTATAGCGATGGGCCCAATCTTAGATCCATAGGCCAACATTAGAGCCATTTCCCCTATATGGATTAGAGTCGATGTTAATAAGAGCCCCTCAAAGAGAAAATGTTGCAGGTTTGTGATTGTATTTTCATCAGTGTTAGCGGAACCAGTTACAACTATAGTTGTTATATTTATAGTAGGGCGGATAGAATCTCGGGAACCAATTAAGCTGTTCAATATCGGAACCAATCTAGCATATCACGACAAATAACAGAAAAGAGAACATCTGCTTCTGCAAACAAAATTTCGGAAACTCTTTTCTCACGACTCAAGGCTCGCCTACGCAAACTAACACCATCGTCGGGTTGGAGAAAGTTTCCTCTATCCAGGATGCTGTTAATTTGCGTTTGGTTGGCGAGGAAAGAAATATCAAAACTTTGTTTATATAAGCTGATAGTACCTTTTCAATTGTTTCCGCATTTTGATAGCTCGAAATTTTATCCGCCAGACTATAAATATAGCGACTTTAGTCCCAACCCGGTGCGAAACCGAACTTTTGTGAGTGCGAAACTCAACCTGAGGTAGATTTAAAAAAAAAAAAATGATCAAACTGACATTTTTTAGAAAACAAACAGACCCAATCTTGATGCCCAAACCAGGTTGGAACAGAATAATAAACGAACTCACTTTTATTTTGATCGTTTGGTACGCCATTTGACAGTTCGATTGGAACTTCTGGCTTCCCTCTTTGCGGGACTTTTTATTAACATCGACTCTGATATGGATGGTATTCAGTTCTTGAAAGTTTACTTCAACATTGTAGGAATCTCTATAAGCTTGATATAGAATTATATTCGAGTTGCTCACTTGCAACTCTTTTATATGTGCTAATGTGACGAATGGCAGACAAGCAAAAAAATAATGTTCATGTAATTTACATGTTTTCAATTAAGTGTGGTTTTTCTTAGCAATTGACCACTTTGTCAAGCAGTTTTGGCGTTACTTTCTACCAGCGAGTCCACAAAACTGGACCAACTAATTTCTATTATTTTATGAAACGCACAAATGATGGCTACTTTTCTCGTGGTTCTAGAAGAAAAAATCTCAAAATAATGTTTTATTCTTTTTTTATTATTACTATGAAGTTCAAGTGGTAGTAAACGTCATTTTAACTGCTCGAATGAAGTGGTTAATTATGCAGGTATGGAAAAGCACTCAGGTTCAAATATGGGTGCATCGCCACCGCAACTTATTCGTATCTTGTGTAGCATACACGATAGATACTCATGTATTCAAATCGTATGGAAATCCTCGCTGCGACATTTGGGATATATCCACGCATCATATGAATCCACCCAAAAAACATACATTAGCGTTAAAGTTCGAATTAGTATTATCGGACTTAAATTTTGAAAACATCGTTACTAAGCTGCGCACTGTTACGAGTACGCCTTAGAATTGGTTAAAACACCTTGACTTTACGATTTTTTTTTGCATACGTGATGTGCTGTGTTGTTAAGTACCCATTAATGTTAGCTCACCTTTGTCGGGTAGAGAATACTGCTTGGCGTTGGCGTAGGTAGAGTGGCATTGTTGATGATTATCTTTTCCAGTTCCGGTGAGACAAGTTTCAGAACTTGCAGATCCGGGGAAGTGAGCACTGGTGGCGCTGTCACTGAGGCATTGAATCGTGCTTTACGACTTTTGCCAGGGTTCAGCTCCAACGTTGCCGGCCGTTTCAGGTTATTTCCTGAGCTGATTGGTGCCTGGGTTGTGGCTGGAACATACTGCCCGTTACTATCTTCGTAAAATGATGATTCCATGTTGTTGTTGTTGATGTTGTTTCGCATTTTTTAGATTTCTCTCCAACTTGCTTATCGTTTGATGTGTGTATGTATTTATCAGTGTACTAGACTAGACACTTGTTTGTTTTCTTCTTTGCATTACACCAACACTCGTGTAGTCTGTAACACAAGATCCACTTGTTCAAAAAGACTACGTTCCTAAGTCGATTTCAAGGCGAGAGCATTAATAGAATGTATTTATTTATCAATTTATTCTTCGTCTTTCTGCCATAAGGTCACTTAATTTGTTTTATCGACGTTGTTCGCTTCGTTAAGCTTCAAGTATCAATTCACAACTTTTTTCTCCTTTGAAAAGTTTAAGAATGCTCCTCGAGTTCATCAATTATGTATGTGCTTGAAAAAATCAATGGCTAACTTTGCACTTTATTGATGACATAGTCTTGCACATGCCTTGCCTGTACGCACTAATACATATTAGCGTGTAAGTTCGCTGAATGTACGCCTCCTTTGTCACGACCGCAGGGGATAAACAATAAAGTTCATTCGAGAAAAGTTTCACAATCCACACTTATTTTTGTCGTCTCATTTGCATATAATTTCGTATCCGCTGTACATTTAGTTCACTTGAAATTGAAATTCTTTCTGTTTCGCAACCACAACGACAACGACGTTCGCGACAATATGCGATTTGTTCCCGATCTTCCTTATTGGAATAATAACAGCACCATCAATGACATAGTAGAAACGATTCCGTAAAGAAGAAAAAAAAAATGTATGAACGACACAAATCACACGATGTTCACTGCTTGAGGTTTCAAACCCGAATGAGGAGATCGTAGCAATACTAGCTGCTTTTCATGATTCACGTGTCTAAAAATAGTACGAGACGTCATTTTCTTGGACGCCAATTGGCTGTTGATGATGTTACTTTACTTTTCATTGGTTCGTTGCCGTTCGTGTTTTATCGTGTTTGTCTACATGAAGCTGAAGGTTCATGTCATTACGAATGGAGGTAGCAGGTTGTATGGAATGGCACTCTCGGAGAGTCTCGGTACATAAAATTGAGGTACCTGAAGCAATGTGGGGATATGCTAGTATTGACAACATAGTTATTACTTGATGATTGAAGTTTTATTGAGCAGCTCAAAACGGTAAATATGGTGGCATCCACTATTAAAAAATTGTACATTTTTCATGATTAGTTTATAATAAGGACGTATGAAAAAAAAAAACGGTTTTATTTTTCAAAATATCATAACTTGAAAATGGTTTATTTAATAAGATTGACGTCTGAGAAGAAGTTGAAGGTAATAAAATGATCTATATGATAAAAAACATACACTGAGGGAAAATCACTGTTAAATCACAGACAAACAGACATATCACATTGAATATTTCTCACTGTTAAACATCGTCGCTAAAACATTACGCCATCTGTTGAGTGCACTGTGGTGGGTAGTACCATAGAAGTAACTCTAAGACCAGAAGGTCCCGAAGAAACGAGCTCAACTTTTTGGCTCAGCTCTGGTACTATCTTCGGTCCCAAGCTAATCGATTCACCCCTCGAAACATAGGAAAATTCACTAACCACTCATTCTATCTGTCAAACTTTCATAGCGAATCAAAACAAACATAGTGAAGTACTAGAATTTCGACCATAATTGGGTACGTTAATCGATTTGCTTGGGACCAATAGGCTAGTCAAGTAGTGAGCCAATTTAAAATCATTAGTTTCAACCGGTTGATATTACCGCTTCCATCCCATATCATAAATCTGAAAGTTGAATAAAAATAATTTGAAGCTTGCTTGGTCTCATTCCGTCTATTTTAATGCACTGAAGTTTTCACACAGTTTCTATTGGGAACGCACATAATATTTTTCCAATAACAAAATTAATATTTTTTGCTTGTTATGTGATATGCATAATAAATTCTAAATGAGTAACCATATAGATTTCATTGGACACATAAGGATCATGTGATTTTGTGGCGCAATTTCCAACTATGAAATCACATGAAAGTTATGTAAAATTCACATGTATATTATCCACTGGTTATGTGATTTATTTTATGAGTGTGGTTGGTTGGTTTTACAAACTTTTTCTGGACATATTGAAAATATGGTTGATTATTTTCACTAAATCTTAGTTATTTTTCGATGAACCCAAAAAAACAAATGGGACCGACTTGCGATGAGTGGCAGAAAAAAAAATAAGATGAAGATTTAGGGGTGCTGCTCTATTTCGTCATACATCACTCCGATTCGACACACCCCCGTACAAAGGTTATTTCGACATCCGTTGTTATTTAACTTGTGCTCTAACAGTTTGATGAATAAATATTGAATGTATATGTATTGTTGAATATCATTGATTATGATATGTATGGCAGCAATGGGCATATGACAAAGTAGTGCTTTACCCTATGTACCGGTAAGCTGCAAGCCATATTGTCTCAGAATAATTTTCAAAGACTAACTAGCAGTACACGCTATGAAGCTTACAACTTAATGGTTGTAATAAACTCAAAACAAACAAAACCACAAATCAAATATTTGAATTTGTTTAAACCAAACACATTTCAATATGGTTTTCCCCATAATTCGATTGCCTTTATCCGCATACCACTATTGTGATAGGTACGAACTCAGTTCGCAAACATTTCTTGACCAACAATTGAAAAGAGCCTATAAGATTTTGTTAATAAAACTTTGAAAGAGAAGCGAAGGCCGCCACGCAAACCAACATCATCAACGGGTAAGGGCAACTTGCCCCTACACGATGATGGCATTGATTGGGGTGGGTGGCCTTCGGTGGTTTGCGAGGAAAGAGCTTACAAAGTTTTGTTTACTAAAGTTGATAGGCCCTTTCCCATGTTTGGTCGAGAGTTGGGGAAAACCCCATCGACTAACTCATTCAAAATTTCTTAGAATTCATACCACAACATAAGGCCGGCAACGCCAAACAGAGCGGCCTCGTGGACCTGTTGATGTTGAATTCCAAATAACATGCTTCTCGCTCTCTCTGAAAACGTAAATATCCCCCAACAAAACGAGAGAAACTCGCATTCGATCGGATAGAAGGGGCAGAAATCACAAACCTACAATGACGTAAATTATGCCTCAAGCTGGTTAAGCTGGTGATGAGTCATGTCTGACGTCAGATGATGGCCATGGAGTTTGTGGTGGAATGGAAGGTTGCATCAGGTATGGACGAAGGTATTTTATTAGTCTGCCTGATATGATGCATTCTTCGTCGCCCGTTGTTTTGTTATCTTCCCAACGTCCACATTGAAGCTCAATATTACATGACATCCAAGCGGGATCTGAATCAATTCGAATTTGGCGCCAACAATCTTAACAACTGGTTCAAAATCGAGCGGATGGATTCGCATTCTTATGATAAGATTTAGGTAGGTTGGTAGAAGTACAGCTATCCTCCCAAGAACGCGTTATCCACTGAGTTCTACACACCGCTTTTTTCTGGGCGGGTTATCAACCAATCGCTCTGATTTTCTGCGAGTGACTAGTTCTCCATTGACACTACTCACATGCAAGAACTCAGTGGGTAACGCGTTCTTTGAGGGATGCCTGTATGTACCAATGTCGTATCAACCGGTTTTGAAATGCAAGTATGTATGTAGAAGTGGATATTCATTTTATTAACACACTGGTGTTGCATTAACAACGTTATTTGTGCAGCTTTGATCAGTTAGCAAGTATCATGTGTAATTGTAGCGATATACAGGATCATCAATTCAATAACCTATCCACTTCATTTCAGAACATATGTATCAGAGAATAAAGATACTATTAAAATCATAATGTATAATGTTTCTATGAGCACATGGCAATGCGGTGGTCTGTCGAAAGGAATGTCACGAATTTCCTTAAAGGAAATGTTAGAGTGAATTTTTAAATAGACGTATCAGCTCTTGTAGACAAAGATTTAGTCGTCAATTTGTCGAAACTCTTAGCATGTTCACGAAAACTAACACCACCCTCAGGAAGTGTAAAGTTTCCCCAACCATATGGTGGTGTTAGTGTTTCAACAAATTGACGTTTGAATCTTTATTTACGATAGCAGATACGGCTATTTGAAAATTCACTCTTGCTTTCATAATTCCCGCACACTCTCTGTCTTTGTGGTACCCAACAAACACTGAAACAAAACAACATGTACCGTAAAACGGGGTGAAGTTGATCATTGAGGTGAAGTTAAGCACTTAATTTTCGATTCTGAACAATCCTTGCTTACGACATTGTTACAAGATAATCTGTTAGTATTTCTTCATTGGGTAGTATTATATAGTACGTTTGCAAAGTTTCCCCTAACAAACGAAGAACGCTCTAAATGTAACATTTTGAGAAAGTGATGAAATATGCAACTTTCAACTGTTCCTCAAAATTCGATCATATTCAGCATTTGTTTGACAATAATCTGAAACTGAAATCAAATTTTGATAAAATGTATTTTCCCATTAAAACATTTTCCTTCTTCTTCGAGCTTGACTTCTAAGTCTTTCAGCTTCAATCTGATAACATTATTACGACTGAGCCACTTGTTATGCCAGATTTTTCTTTAAATGAAATAAATGAACTACAAAATGTGGCTGATTTCGAGTTGCCCATAATAGAACAGCTGGTTAACACGCAATTCAAATGGAAAGGTTGCCGAAGAAAAAGAGGATGCCGACAATAGCCACCAGGACCGTGTGCAAGGGGGGAGGGGCATGAGGGGCCATGACCCCCCCCCCCCCATTGATTTTGAGGACACAACCCAAGCACCCTCCTGATGTTTTTCATCCACATCAAATAGGTTTAAGCTATCCAAACAATTATAAAATTTAAAAAGACATCCCAAACTACTTGTTATTGCAATTCAATCTCTCAACATTTTTAATAGATCAATAGTCACATAGAACGTCCTCCTGCTATTTGAAAATTATCCAAAAAATCAGCTTCTATACACCAGTTTCTACACAGTTCGAAAAAGTAGTGTAAATTTCTGTTCAATATGATGCACATAAATGGAGCGTCATATATCATATACGTTCACATTATATATCATGTAAAGTTCTGACAGATTTCATGCAATGCAACACATATTGTATACAAAAGCCCATATTTGTAAACAACATTGTTTGCAAGTTGCTCGGTTGCGTGAAATGAAATATAAGTCTACGTGAATGAATGTTTACATCACAATTAAAATTCAGAATTTTTATCTGTGTATAGACACTCTAATGCCATAGAGGTAACTCTAAGACTAGAAGGTCCCAAAGAAACGTGCTCAACTTTTTGGCTCAGCTCTAGTACACTCTTCGGTCCCAAGCTAATCGATGCACCCCTCAAAACCTAGGAAAATCCACGAACCCCTCATTTTATCTGTCAAACTTTCATAGCGAATCAAAACATAGTGTAGTACTAGAATATAATCGAAAGTCAATAATCGTCAATAATCTAATATACATAATAAATTCTAAATGAGTGCCTATCAAACGATAAAAAAAAATCAAAGATTTTCACTGAAGTTCTCGAGATATTCCTGAAGTTCATGGATTTACCCTTAAATTATCGAAACTAATTCATAACTTTTCAATAGTCTACATTTATTAGAACTGTTATTATTTATGTTATTAAAACTGTCCAAAATATTTTTTTCCCTAAAAAGTTCTCAAGATTGCCCGAATTTTTCAGTTTTTTTATAACTACCCGCCATTTTACTGCAGTTAATAATATTAATTTTCCATAATTTTCCTAAAGTTTTATAAACCTCATAAATGCTCACCATGGGACTTTACTGAATTTCTCTGGTC